AACTGGCCACATCTGTTTCAATTGGGTTTTGAAAAAGTCTCACTTCTTCTGCCTTTAAATCCAAGTCAGAAAACCGCTGCTGAAAATGCAGCTGGGGGTCTTTGATGATCTCGCATGCAAATGACATGGGGAACTCCGCTGTTGCTTCAGCCATGAAGACCGTCCACTGCTACAAGTTGTTGGCCTGTACTTGTTCCAAAAACAAGACGAGTTTGGATCTGAAGGCCTTTAAGAGGTGTATAGATCTTGTGTTATGTTCATGTCTTCAACAACACTCCTAACGAACACAAGCAGTTGAGAGGTGGAACAGCTGTCCAGCGATTCATCCATTGCAAATAAAAATTGGTGAAACTTGCTTGCATTTTTCGAAATTTGAGTCACAATTTTTTTCACCCATGTCTGCAACTCGGCGGGCAATGCCCCGCCACTACATGTTCCTTTTCATTGACTGTGAACGAAAGTAGACAAACTAAGCATCGAATAAGATTTTGCAAAGTAATGATCAGTTAGAAAACATAACGCACTACTGCGCGCCTCTATTTTAATTCGGTAAAAACATAACGTCCACACAAGTGGCGTCTGATCTTGTCAGGATACACGTACTTTTGAGTAATGTCTTACCGCATGCGGCCCGCGGGCCGTAGTTTGGAGACCCCTGCTTTAGCGTAAAGAAAGAAAACGACCGCGTTGCAGTTGTAATATGCGTCACAGATGGTCACGCTTCGATTTACCGGGGCTGCTTGGAAAACGTGTGCTCTGTTCCCGTTTGAGCCACTGTAAAGAAAGGTTGGTGTCTATATAACATATTATTATATAAACATCAACCGTTTCTGAAGTGAAAGCGTGATGTGATTATAACGCGCGTGTGTTGGACACGTCACATGACGACTTCATAAGGCCGCGAGATGTCTGAAATATCATTACGTGCTCTGTTTAGTCTTGTGGAAATTATAACATTTATATGATGGTTATATAGAGAAGTTTGTTGTGTAAACTTTAGTGTCTGCGTTCATGATTCCAAACAATGTGTGTAAGTTTACATGAAATTACTGTTATATAAAGTTTAAAAAAAAATAATAAAGGCATTTTAAAAATGTTTTAATTGTTGTAAAATAATAGTGTGGTTAGAAACGTGTTTTTCGTAATTCAAAACAGGTGTAGTATTATAACTTAACATTGGTTGACCAATGACAGATGTGACATTATTATTATTATTAGTGGTGGTTTTATATAGCGTGGTACCCCAGCCTAGGGCTGGGCTCACCACGCTGTACATACAATTTAACAAAATTTAAAGTTAATTAATTTAATTACAGTTTAAAATTAACATACATTTATGAAAAAAAAAATGTATATTCACTCCACATATTCAAGAACTATTTACATGTCAAGCCATGGACGGCTACCCAGCAGCATCGTTTAATCTATCGGGAGGGGGGGGGGGGATGGTCGGAATATTGCGAATGTGTATTGGAAGAGAATTCCATTGTTTGTGGGCGTAGAAAGAGAAAGAACGTTCAACGTACGTTTTTGGGCGAGTCGTGAGGAACTATCGGGAGGGGGGGGGGGATGGTCGGAATATTGCGAATGTGTATTGGAAGAGAATTCCATTGTTTGTGGGCGTAGAAAGAGAAAGATCGTTCAACGTACGTTTTTGTGCGAGTCGTGAGGACAGATAGATTGCGCGTGTCTGCGGAGGAACGAAGCTGTCGAAGGGGTGAACAGACAGTGAGAAGTTCTGTTAGATAGGAAGGGAAGGAATTCGAGAAAAGGTTGTAGCAGTGAACAGAGAGTTCATGTAGTCAATACGTGCTTTTACATGGAGCCAATGAAGTGAAAGAAGTAGTGCTGTGAGGTGATCACGTATTTTTTTTTGTTTTTTTTTGCCTTTAGAATTAGCCTAGCAGTTGAGTTTTGAACCTTTTGTAATTTTCAATGAAGTGTTTTGATGAATACAAATAACTGGATTGAAATGGCTTGCCCATGATCTTAAGATGGCAATGACATGTACATGATCTTGGGATTGAAATGACATGCCCATGATCTTAAGATGGCAATGACATGTACATGATCTTGGGATTGAAATGGCTTGCCCATGATCTTAAGATGGCAATGACATGTACATGATCTTGGGATTGAAATGACATGTACATGATCTTGAGGGACCATGATAAATTACGATGCTTCCTAAGCTAAATATTCCTCCATTATTTAATATGTAATGATGGGAATAGCTAGGCCGACTGATTTTATCATTTAAATATGATTGTGTAATAATCGGACCACAACTGGTGAGAAATAGATCTCCATTTTAAAAAAAAATATTTTTTGTTGCTTTTTTTGTTTAGGCTCAGCTTAAAATTTCATGGGCCTAAGAAGTTTTTATCAGCTGGGTTGTGATGGTTTGAATTTATTTATAGAAATAGTTAAATAAAACCACCAAGGGGGCGTTCAGTAATTACGTCAAGAATTTTAAGCAATTTTTGACCACCCCCCCCCCCACCTTCCCTGTCAACAACTGTCAAACTTTCAGTGACACCCCCTAAGTAATTATGTCAACATTTTTATACCCTCCCAATAAATAAATTAATGAATTATAATATAAATTAAATTATATAAATAGTCTACATTTTACTTTGTGCTAATATATTTTAATAACACGAAATTATAGGAAAAACATTTGTTATTGCACCTTTAGCTTGTTAATCAACCAGTAAAAACGTTGTTACCAATAAATGCCATAAGCTCTCTCTCTCTCTCTCTCTGTCTCCTGGCAGCTACTTGCATTAGTCGAATCCTTTTTTTTGAAGAGGAGCAGGTGGTAGTTTCTTATGCATTATTGGTGCTGTTGATCTTGCTATTTCAACATGACTTGTGATGCACAATAGATGTTACCGATTTTGCAAATCCGTTCAAGCAGCGATGTTATTGTATTATTGTTTTTCACTTTAATTTCCCCTAATTCTCAAAATATCGTATTGCTACTCCATCAATATCATTTATCTTGATTGCACATGACACTTGAACCTTGACCTTGTTCCATACCTGCAACATGATCATTTCCACACAACCCCCCCCCCTTTTCCCCCATGCTGTTGACATATTTAATGAAGACCCCTATGGTTCAATAATGAGTTCACTAACGCGCAAAATATAATTCCATTTCTTATGTAGCAAAGTGGATGTTGGTGGTATGATGAGGCTGACAGTTTTACTAATATACAACAAAAAAAAAAATTTCAGGTCTTGAGGACTATAGCTTTATTATAAATCTAACTAAAGAAAAATGCTGACGAAAAAGTTAAAGAAAAAGTTCAAAGAAAAAGGACAATATCTGAAAAGAAACAAATAGTACAGGTTAATAATGTCCTGAATAACACCGAATAACACAGCTAACAAATAAACATATGAACTGACCATGTAATTACAGGGGTGTGACAAAGTATACTTAACCAAGGATAGAGTATAGGTACAAGTTATTTGTTATACAAATGGCAATTAAAATTATATTGTTTTAATAATGTTTAATTACTTTAAAGGAAATCACGTGCAGTGTTTAACTTGTAGCACGTACACCACCTTACACACAGAACCATTGTGAGATGTGAGGGCTAACATAAAGGTCTAGTAATTACTATGGCACTGTCGTCCTCGTAAGGTGTCTGTCGACTCCTAACGTCTTCTGGATTGATCACATTCGTCAGTTCTTTCATACGTTGAAGCGTCGTACTATTCTAACTATCAATTAACAAACTCAACTCCTTTTGATAATAACTATAACTTTAATATCTAAGTAAATATAATAAACATCCTATCACTCCAAGGTTCCACTCAAGACTGCCGCACGGCTAAAACATACGTCACAATACTGCATAGACAATACGTCACGACTCAGCATAAAAATACGTCATAAATACAATGGCGGGAAGAGCGTTCACTAACTATAATAGTCAAGCGCGGGAAACACGTTCAACAACTAATGAACATAATATTGAGTCGCAACAATTCCTAATGAACGCTCATACTCGACAGTGTCTATGTAAGATGCACCCATCGCAGGACAGGCACTACAATGGTGTAAGGCAGGCCTGCACAACTCAAAATGTAATTTAAAGGTGGGCCGTAATACTTTATGAAAAACTTGTGCGGGCCAAAAGAAGGACAACGGGGAAAGCTTTTGAGAAAATAATAAGAATACGGAATATTTTGTTACTTCGTGGGCCGCAAAATGGGTGATTGGGGGCCGCATGCGGCCCGCGGGTCGTATGTTGTGCAGGCCTGGTGTAAGGTATAACCTCCTCCTCCTCATCCTCATGTCTTTTAGTCCTTGGACCGTTGGGGCGCCACAGATGACATGTGAACCATCCTCCTCCATTCCTCTCTGTCTTCAGCACTACGCACTGCATCGCCCAGTGTTAGTCCTGTCCACTCTTTGATGTTATCCTCCCACCTTTTTCTTTCTCTTCCTCTTCTTCTCCCTCCTCTTGTGGTGCCCTGCAATATTTCTTTGGCAAGCCCTTGTTACCTTGATACGTGGCCGTACCATTGTAATTTGCGTTTTTTCACAGTCACTAGTAGGTCATCGTACTCCCCAATTGCCTGACGAACCCTTTCTTTCACTGTATCATTGGAGATATGGTCCCTATAGCAGATGCCAAAAATGCTTCTGAAGCATCTCATCCACATCGCCTTTATTTTCCTTTCAAGATCGGCTGTTAATGTCCAGGATTCGCAGGCATACAGGAAAATGTAGAGGACTAATGCGCGCATCAGCCTGATTTTGGTGCAGGGGGGCTATATTTTTGTCATTCCATATTTTCTTGAGCTTTTTTAATGCTGTTGTAGTCTGCGCAATCCTGGACATCAGTTCGGGCTTGGAGCCCTCTTCTGAGACTATTGCTCCTAGGTATTTGAAGCGGCCGACAGTTTCTACCTTAATTTCAGTGGTGATGCATGCGGTATTATTTGTCATCAGTTTTGTCTTTTCGGCACTGATTAGCAGGTATAACCACCGTTAGTTAGATACTTGCATCAATCAATCGCTGTGTCTGTCGAGCAAGGAAGTTAATAATAATTGTTGTGACTGAATATCGTGCTTATTACACGTGATGTGTGTCTGAGAATTTTAGTAGTCGATGAACGCCCTTCCTATGCTTGACTTGGTGATGTATCTTTTTTGCTCATTATGACGTATTGTCTAGTCTGTTTTGTGACGTACGTTTTATTCGTCTGGCGGTCGTGAATGGAACTTTGTGGAGGTAGGATGGGTTTTAGTTTTATTTCTGTCTGATAGCGAGCTGCGCTATGCATGTGTGTATGGAGTTTACAGCCTCTGTATAGAATTATATATTAAAGTTACATAGCTACATATATTGTGATAAAAGGCTTGAGTTGATTGTTGATTCAATACTAGTACGACGCATTACAACGTGTGAAAGAACATGATGGATTAACCAATCAATTAGAAACAAGGAGTTGACAGTCTCTCTTTTTTAAGACAAAAGCAAACGGCAGAATGACCAATTATATTAATACAGTTGGTAAAATTATCCTAACACATGCACCATTTCCTATTTGAGAATTTAACACAAGGCAAGAGGGTTAGCCTACAACATGTCATATTTTACGTACATTCGCTGGTCGGACACTGTTGTGTCAGTAGCTTATAAGCTCATTGCAGTATGTGTAACCAGAACGATATAACGGATGCGTGTTTGCTCACATTCACTGGGATCTCATTCCATTCAAGAATACAGTGAACGGATGTATGTTCAACCATCACAATATCATGGGTACACGACAAATTGACGGAGCTAACAATTGATTGGAATAATTATTAATGATTAATGGACTACCCTCCACATCGACACTTTTTTTTGACATAATAAATAGTAACCACTGATATTGTCTTTGTTAAATCCTAGATAATTTGTGTCATTTACAATTAACCTTCATCTTAAACATGATTTTATAAAAAGTGATTATGCTCTTTAAAAATTTAAAAATATTGGGCTCGTCCGGGATTTGAACCCGGGACCTCTCGCACCCAAAGCGAGAATCATACCCCTAGACCAACGAGCCACTTATTTGGTGGGAGGAATTATTTATAATGAACTATAATTTCCTGTTGCTATGGAATGCGGTTTAATATTCAAATTTTTGTGGTCATTGTAATAAATATTTACTTGTATTTATACAAAAAATAAAGAAAGTTTTTGCTTTTAGATTAAATCTTGCTCATTATTTTTAAATTTTAGTAGTCATGTCTAAAACTATTTTCTGTAACTATATATTTTTGCGAATGGATCTAGTTTGTTCTAAGGCTAACATCCGCTGTCAATGTAAGCAAAACAACAGCGGCAACAGTTTTTTGTCTCTAGAACAATTTCATGCCACTTAAATTGAACACATCTTATACTTATTTTATAAAAGGACCTTATTTATCCCATTTTTGTCAATAAATAACAAAAATGGAGATGCGTTCATCGGATCCAATGGATAACAGAAAGGGATCGCTCACTCTGCGATCTAATCATATGAATTACTCTCGTGCTGTCTTGAATTCTAAATGGTAATTTTTTTTTTATCTAGTCATGCCATATTTAAATTTACCATTTTGACCTATTGAAGCTATTACTAATGGCTATTAAATATTATATTCCATTAGCCTATATAATCATAATTCATAATGTCAAATGTGAAATACATTGCAATTATAATACTTGACTTGGTGACTTACTTATTAATAATTTAATGAAGGATGTCTGAACTGAAGTAAGAAATAGTGAAATATTCATAAAAATAAAAATACATTCTTTAGTTTAGTAAGATTATTTATATTAGCCTATAGATTACTAAACTATTATAAATAATTAGTATAGTATTAGGAATTAAGCCGATGTTGATGAAATCGTAATTTCAGACTGAAATGTCATTATTTCATTTACATTAATAATTAATGTCATTAATAAGTTACTGAACTGTTACTGGCTCAATATTTAAAAGAAGGACAGGGCTTTTTTTGTCATGGATCGCACCTTAATGGTGTATCAATCAGCACCTTTTTTGGACAGATTTTCCATTTAACTTTTGAAAATGTTTGGTCCATGTGCACTTGATTTGCCCTGTCCAGCATAGCAGGTGCATTAAAACCATGCATGCATGCGGGGGATGGGGGGGGAAGCAAAAACCTTGGGTCACCTGGGTGTTTCTACTCTAACCCTTGCTACGCCACGGCCACAGATGCAAATAAATGGCAAATAAATTATTTATTTTAAAAATCATTGGTAAAAGTTGAATGAAAAAGAAAAACTATTATTAATTTTTTCTCAACCACCTGTTCTGCTAAAAAAAAGGCCAGAATATATATTAACAGAGACATACTCACTTGAAATAATGATGCCTGTTGATATTTCTGAATTAGATCTTAAGATGCAAACCCATTAATTTTAATGACCTAATGATAAAAAAATATTAAATTACATTTCAAAACAGGCATCAAGCCAGGGAGGCAGAACCTAAAGATTATGACATGAATAAGCATCCCATCCGAACAATGGCGATTGCTACCTACAATCGAATAGGAAATGTCACAGATGGTGTAGGTTCAATATTGAAAATATATTTATTTTGACCCTTGTTTACATAGCAATGTTATGGAGTGATTCTACACAATTTTATGGAACAAGGCCAGAAATTCGATACTGGACTAGGGGGATTCCATTAAAAAGAAAATTATATCTAAATGTTGTAGGTTTATATTTTTATATATTAATATACTACATAATCTTACAATTACATGGCCATCCTAAAGAGTTGGGGGGGTGGGGGGGGGGGGGTGGCGGCTCCTCCCTGGGTTTTGTGCTTTTTTTAGATTTACACACCCAATCACTGGACACCTCCCTGGATTTTGTGCTTATTATAGATTTACACACCCAATCACTGGACATCTCATCTGAAATGTGTCCTGGTTGTCAAGCTTGGTGACTTTCTAGATCTACAGATCTCCAGTGATTATGATATGCCTGCAAAAATTCAGCAATTTTTGTCACTCCAATTAGGCATCTCAGCTCTTAATTAGTATATTAAATATTGAAATCCATCAAATATTGTCTTTCTTCAGAATATTCTATGAATCTTCTTTCTGCACATAGTAAGCATTCTTTTTGATGTGCACATGATTCACAAACAATCTGACCTATAATTATGAACACTCAAGACATTGGAGGGAAAATTTAGTGTACAATAGTTGCCCCCCTTCAACAAATTTAAAACTTGAGATTCATATGAAGATCTGCTGCTAAGATGACTCGTGGGTTGATTTTTTAAATATTTAATTTATAGAGAGTGCCACAACAGTAAAATATTGAACTGTTAAATGCAGTATAAAATACTTTCTTTTATTTTTTTTTTCCACATCGCAAAATTGAGCCCCTAATCATCAGCAGTCCTCCTGCAACTGCAGGGGTTGAAGAGCTTACACGACAATGGAATTAGCATGTCACATACATCTTATATGTAATACAATTTTTATTGAGAAAAAAAAAAGAACTATTATTTGTGAGATTTTATTAGTACACAAAGTTAGTATGTTAACTCATTTTAAATAATGTTAATTATAATAAGCATTTGAAACTTATTTTCTAGTCCTTACCAGAAACAACCTATCAAGCTCAATCTAATGAGATCTATTTAAAATCTATGTATGAAACCAGAGAGTGTCATAAGCCCATGGTAACTTTACAGACAGTGGCTAGTGCTAATGCAGGCATTGACAGGTATTTAATTCAATATATTCATTAATTATCAATAAATCTTATTGATTTTTAAAAATTAGTTAAATATGGCAGCAATTCAACTTTATATAGGCAATTGATTGATTTTCTGTCTCAAGGATGGATGCCATTTTTGGGACCAGTATCAAAATATAAAAAATGTATAAAATAAAAGATTGCCTTTAGAATGATCATGTCCTTTAATCTATATTACAGTTAATACCATTTATATAGTCTTTGAAACTTGTAAATCTATAATATTAATACATTTTTAAATTTCTATTAATGCAGGGACACTCATGACCCCAAAAAGTCATTTGGTTCAGTGTTGCCATATCATGGCCCAGATCACAACAAGTACTATTTGGACACAACTTACAATTCAGATTATATACCACCTTATCCATACACACACAAAGAGGAAGTGCCACCAGTAAGTCAAGCAAGTGTGATAAAAAAAATTATTTGTCAAACATGAATTATAACAATTTCATAGTAATTTGGCAAGAATTCATTATTATGTTTTCATGTACAGTAATTTTCAGTAACATTTCCCTTCATAATTTATTGTTGATATATTTATTTTTTGCAACAACTTTTGGTGATACAAAAGCAAAAATGTTAAAACAAATGGACATAAAGCATTATTATGCAAGATGGAATGTATGATGCCCCGTGAAGTAAATATGAAAATGAATGGTGCGATAAGTGGCATGACGTGAAATGACTAGAAAAATTAAAAACTAAAAGAGTGATGGCTGTTCCTCAATCAGTATCAGACTTTTCCGTGTCTTCCTTATGGTTCATAAACAATTTTTCTGTCTTTTTTTTCTACAATCTGCAAAACTCCTCTGCACACTGCTAGTAAAACATGCAATATAGTTGTTATAGTTGTATGCTTGGTTTAATATTTTTTAAACAACCCGATTGTTCTTCGTCATATTTGGAAATTTGCTTCTTGAAAGAAATTTGGTCGAGGGAAAATTGAATAACAGAAGTTTGGTCTATTCAATTTTGGTAGAATGGAAATTCTGTCGCACTGAAATTTTGTCAAACAGATATTTTGTTGCTACTGTTTTTGTTGTTACTAAGTCTCAGAGTTTCAGACTAGAAATGGGGAGATTTGTTTGAATGGAAGTTTGTAGGAATAGAAATTAGTTTCGATTAAAAAAAAATTTTTGTTTGTGAGTGAGAAACAGGGAGCTTTTTCAAACGGAAGTTTGTTATAATGGAATTTCATTTGCATTTCAAAAATACAAAACATTATACATTAACCTAGTAACTTAATAATTGGGGACTTGAATAAAAATAGAAATGCAGACAGGCACTAAAAAGTAAAATCATACTTTCGATAAGCTTTTCTACCATTTTGATGTTTCTATTTATTGAACATCGGATAATCTAATTTGAATTTGTGATGTGGGACACTTATTTCTAATTAGTGATGCTATTTTTAAGATAGTTGGTGGTCATGGTATCAACCCGATGGGTAGGCGTTATATGATAAATGGCAAGTAGTTAAAAGCAGAAAAAATAACTTTAAAAAACTAGTAGCTGATAGCTACATGTATGGGAAAGAAAAGAAGCATGAAGATACAATTTATTTGAAATTCGTATAAACCCAGCAACATAATGTCAGGTCCCTTCACTTGAAACTATATTATTATGGTTAAACAAAATATATTTTTTTTTCCCGAACCAAATTCAGTTCAAATAAACTTCTGTTTGAACCAAAAGCCCAATTTCTAACTCCCAGCCCAAAAAACATATTTAAATATAAACACATTTTTTTTTAAAACTTGACCAAACATCAGTTTGACTAAATATCCATTCAACCAAGTTTCCATTTAACCAAACTTCTGTTGATCACTTTTACATGAACAAATTTCTTTCTCACACATATTTCCAGTAAGCGTTCTCCATCAGTCTTTCAAGCACGACCCCTTATCATTTATAAGAAAAATATCTGAACAATATGCATACATTCCATTTCTGTAAATGTTAAATAATAATGTTGATTGATTCATGGGTGAAGTGTTTCTTACAATATTACTAATTCCTGTATTGCAAGGCAATATTATATTATATATTATATTAAACATCACATGCAGCATACATTTTAGCAGAACATAATCATAAAGGTCTCATGTATAGGCCACTCATATGGAATAACGTTTTTAAATGTTCAAATTGTTTTTGAAATACTGTATTAATAGCTAATAACATATTAATATTAACACTCCATTCCGCATGTCGATCTGGCTCCTTGTTCACTAGAGTCACTACCAGAGACTATGCGAAGATATATCATGTTGTTATTATGTTCAATTTGTTTTTTAAGTTATTACACAATGGATGGCTTAAACGGACTTGCTGTCTCTTTTCAAGTTTTTATTTAACCCGCACTTTACATTTACTATTATTTATGCTGTCATCACTTGACAATCGCTCAACAGACGTCACTTGATAACAATCCAAGGAAAAATGTTTGACTTGTGTTTTTCCCTTACTTCTTTCTTTTCTCCCTTAGATAAATGGTTATTGAAGGATAATTTAAATACGACCTCATTGCACCTACTATGTTCCAGATCAGTTCAAATAAAAAAAAATGAGAATCCTTTGTCGTAGGGCCCCTTAAATTTGTGGGGCCCCTAAAATGCACATGGGCATTAGGCACCTTTCTCTTTTGCCTTTAGGTTAATCTGGCACTACCTTCACTTTATTTATATTGTTCACTTAATCCTAGATTACCGAGCTTCTAATGTATATGTCTTTGTAACTTGGTCCATAAAATCCTCCATTTGATAAGACGTTACAACAAACAACACATGTTAGACAGGGATAATTTTTTGTATCCACCAGAAACCTTGGATCATGCTAAGGTTGGGTTGAAGTAATTAGAGTTGAATATTCAACACGTTAGAAAACATGAAGTATGTTGGTTTTTTTTTGACTGCACTAGGTTGAGACCCACTGCTTTAGTAAGAAAATGGCATTCAGTTGTATAGATTATTATAAAGCTAATGATCTCTTTATTCTTTCTTCATCCCACACACAAATTAGGGTTTATTTCTTTAAATTTTATTTCAATAGGCTGAATCTGAGCAGAATGAAGATAAGTCGTCTGCATACAAGAAAATGAAGTCACAGTTCACAGATACTGCTGACTACAGACGCAATGGCTGGAACACCTGGCAGGATGAAAGTGGCAATTATGCTAATTCTCATTTCAAAGCACAGGTGTTTCCTAAAACCCAAACTATACCGGAGAGATTGACTTAATTAAAGAGCATGTTATTTATCAAAGTATTTTCAATAGACCCTTAGTACCTGTAAATAAATATTTATTCGAGTATTTGCAACAAAATATTTATTTTCACAACATAAGCTTAAAATAATTAATTATGTTATCCAAAATAAAAGGATATATTTATTTTGGGTTAGTTAAAAGCAACATATTTTCATAAATAGGTATTCTGTAAAGAAACAGTATGTAGGAGCATTTTATAAAAATATTTTATAAAAACAGGTAACCATATAGTATTATGTAGGCAAAACATTTTTGTTTTACATTTACAAGAAATGACAAAAAACACTTTTATGCAGAAGGGATTTATTGCTGCCATATTTTGGTACAAAAAGATGAATTATGGTCCAGATTTCTTTTGTAACTTACATTCCACAATTAGGGTATAACATCAATCACTGTTTACAGTACACGTCATTTGTGACATAAAAACTATGAAACATATCTTGGCTTTTTATTTGCCTGAAAATCTCTATCTTAAATTACAAAAAGGACTTACTGCTTCCTATTTACATTTCTCAACACTGCTCATATAAATAATCAAATATTTATATGCAATTCTATACAGCAAATCAATTACATTAAAACAAGTAACAGAAATTTGTAAGCATGAAACTGGTTATATACATTTTTAAAGATTAGTTAATTAATTTTACATTAGTTTATGATTTGTCTATCCTGAGAAGTATACAAGTTGCAAAACATTTTTGTTTTAATTATACTGATGAAATAAATAAATTAAATAAATTGACAATGAAATATTTTTAATTTCTTTTAAGCATTGTGTTGTACTGGACATATCTTAGTGCACAAAAACATAAGAACAATAAATCTTAAGAGAAAGACCTATGCTAGATAGAAATTAATAATTTAATTTTTTTTAAATTAAAGGGCCTCTACTTTGATGAAATTTCTTTTAGTGAATAATTTTTTTTTATTTTTAGTTTTCAATGTGCATACCTTAACTGAAAGGAGATGTTAAAATTTGATATAATGCCTTTGAGATAACAATTTTTAAAAAAATTTAATTTCAAACATGAAAATGCAAGATCATTTCTCTCTGATTTTGTTTTCCTATATAATTATACCTGGCATACTATACACATGGTAATATTTTTTAAGTAGTTTAAGCCAAAATGCATTGTCTTAATGATGGGAAATTCAAATTTTTCTTTATTTTGCTTTATAAAAGATATTTCAAATAAATAAATTAAATTTAGGCAAATTTAAATAAAAGTTTAATGTAGGCCAATTATGATTCTTTTTAATACTAAGCTATTATCTGCTTTAGAAAAGTAAATTAATAAGGAAGACATTGGGAAAGGGAAAAAATAGAATAGTTAAAGATAATAGTTTTCAAAAATAATATTCATAATTCCTCAAAGCACTTGACCTATGTACCATGAATATTTTCTTATAACAGGTCATTAATCTAATTTTAATTCATGTTTATTCAAAGATTTTCTTAATCAGTATTTTCAGATTGTTTTATTGAGTACCGGTAATACAGATAAATGCTGACTAGATATATGTTTGTCTACCCTGCAGAGAGATTGTTGGCATCTCCAGTAAAATAAAAATGTACTATAATCATTTATTCTTTCATCACTGATCAAAATTTCTCATATTAACTATATTATTAACTAAACAGAGCAAATTGTTTAAATGAACTTTTGAGCATATAAATAAAACAATCTTAGCAAATAAAGCAAATCTGAGTGCCAATAGTTTAAATGCAGGAATTAGACTCTTACTTTAAAAAAAATTCAAATGCAAAATAATGCCACTTTGTTTCTGGCTCTTCCATTCCTCAGCAAAATGATGATAAAATATTATGCTTATTTTTATGAATACAATAAGGCAACCTGAGGTAGTGTCAATTTATAAAGATTAATTTGTTTTTAAAATTTATTCCTTTACATACATGCAAGTAATTAATGCATGTAATTAGCACAACAATATTTGTAAACAGAAATTATTCTGTGAAAGTGAGTGAGTTGATATTGTTAATACAAAAATTGATTATAAATTTCTAAACAGAAACATAAATTGTTTCATTTGATCATCCAGGATCTTCATAAAGTGAATTCATGTAATATGTAAGATATAGAAATGACTGCAAAAATATAATACTGATTTTAACTTATGGATATTAAATAATAAAAAGGTGTTACAGCAGAATTGATGGATTTAGACCAAAATAGTAAAAACCCATCTATTATGGAAAAAAATTAGTTATAAAAAAGAGTTGAAATAATTGCGTGATCAATCCTCAGTTATAAATTAAAAAATGAAACTATCTCCACATACAGAGTGTCTAACATTATGATAACTTTGGAAAAATGCTTTTTATATTGAAAAGAAAAAATTTGCTCTTAAATACCATGATAACAAATGTAGTTTGTTTAATTTAAAAAAAAAAAACAACTAATAGTTATTTTACTAATAAACTTTGCATTTTTGGATGGTAAATATTAAAAAAACAACTCTGAATTAACTTATAGGTAAATTAAGATGATCACTTTATTTCTCATGAAATAGGGCAAGCATCCACTCTAACATCTCCTGTAGGTTTGCCACTTGCTATGTATTGCAGTTTTCCATTGATATACAAATTACGGATACAACCTACATAATCTCCTGTAGCAAGAATTCCCTTGGAAGTTGGGTCTGAAATTTCAAAACAAGATTGTGTTAAAAATGAATAAGCCAGCACATCCTCATTCATTCTAGTCTTTACAAACATAGATCATGCAATTTTGCAACACCATAATATTAAGAAAGTTGACAAAAAGATGGTCACCTGCTGCTCCACCAATATAAAGTGGATCATTTGTATCTGCCGAGGAAACATCAACTTTGCCACTCTGGGTCTGCAGGACACCATCCACCGTCAGATTGAGAACATGCTTATCCTTTACAGCTGCATGAGTAAAAGGATAAAAAATCTTTGTCATGTCTTAACAAATTGAAAAGTAACATTTAAAAAAAAATATCTATCAAAGAGAAAGATATATATTTTAATTTATTTCTTTTTAATGACTTTGAAGCTTTCCAAAGTTAAAAATCAACTGCGCTGTGTAACTCATAAAATCGTGTTATTTGATTTGTACTTTGGTCAGTCAAAGTGTGTAGCCTCAAAAAACCTACAGTTATTAAATAAAATGTATCAAAGTATCTATTACTCACCCACCCATTGAAGTGGTAGCTAAAAAAAAAAAGTCTGTCCCATAATTAAGGTATTTTTGTAACGCTAGTTGACAGAAAAGCTTCAAGAAAGTGTTCATTAATTGACCAAAAGGTTAAGTGGAAACTATGTATATAGACATATTTATGGGCTGTAAAATTTGTTGTCAGGTCTAAAAATTATTTGAAACCAGTTCTAAAATTTTTTAATAGAGCAAATCCTACCGCGAATAATATGCCAGTTGCCATCACAGAGTGCTCTACTTGTCTGTGGTGCATATCTAACAGTGATAGGTCCAGCTCCGTTGTCTGTAGACAAGACAATCTGGCAGACAGAGTAAAAATTGTTATTGAAGCTTGAACTTGTAAAAAAATTAAAATGTATTGTTTTCAGCATTGTTTTTCTATTCATGAGCTTTTTACAAAACAAAATAAGTATTAGAATTATTTAGCCACATGTAACATACTTTGGTTAATAAAAATAAAATTGGGGGCTTATTTTTTTAGCCGCAAATGTGTATTTCTTAATTTAAATTTCTTATTTTCATTCTGACAACTAACTGAAGAGATGTTTGTTATATTCATACTGTCTATGTGATAATACAGTAAAAGAGCTTAGGTGAAATATTACCTCTCCTTCTGTCAACTGGAGAACAAGGAAATCACTCTTGTTTTCATGTACAGAGAGTAGGATCCCTTCCTGGGTTCTGGGTCTGATTTCCATTTCAATCTCCATTTTCTGACTGACCCGGAATTTGTCATCTAAATAATTATTGGGGGTGGGGGGAGGAGCATGAGGAGGCAATATTAAGTTAAATAGATATCAATTTAATAGGGAGAAAAAGAAGGCAGAAAAAATAAGGGAGTTTTTACTGTTAGTTTAGGATACATATAAACTGATACAAGGGTGTATTCGGAACTTTTTTAAAAAACTAAATGGATCACAATGAATCTTAAAAGTATGATGTGATTTAGGTATGTGTAGTGCACTCATACTTACATAATTGAACATAACCACCATTGGCACCAAAGAATGAACCAGATTCATCAGAGTTGGAGCAATTTCTGACATCTATTTCCATTAATGGTTTTTTAAATGGCATGTTGTCAAATTTGATATAAGCCAGACACCCATCAAATCCAGCATATTGTCCCTGTTGGGTTGAAATAACTTTTCATCAACAAAAGACTCCAAATAATGAAAGAAGAATGTTTATGGAGAGGACAGTGTGTGTAGCAAAAATGTTATTTCATATTATGAAAGTCTAAATACCACACAAGTGTTCTACAACATTTACAATGTAGGTTGTAATATTCTAAGAATTCTTGTGCATTCACAATGTAGCATCCAGAAACACAAGAATTTAATTGTTAATTAATGTAACACAATGAGTTTTAAATTTTATAGAAGCCAAATATGATTTAACCCACGAACTGTGCTCCGCCGAAAAAATCGGCCCACTTTCTCGTTCTGTACTGTGGCGGCCGAAAAAATCGGCAGATAAAAAACACAGTCCGATAGCAACTTCCAATCAAATATTTAACCGGAATTATAGCCACTTCCTTTTATTAATAATTAAATCATCTTCCGGTTCAAGCTGTTTCGTGATAACTTGAAAATAAATACTTTTTAATCAGAGTTTTTTATCGCTGTATTTTTTAAAGCTAAAATGGTTGAAGCCATGGCTGGGCCTTGAGTGGAAGAACTAATAGAAATATGTTTGAAAGCTTTTTAGGTGAGGTTTTAAGTGATACTGGTGATGATTTTAACATTCCCCATGACGATATCAGTTGAGATTATTCTTCTCGTGAATTTTATACTTGTCTTAGTGATACTAAAGTAGACATACTGAGGCTACTGTTAGACTTTGAGCCCGGCCCGGAGGTTGGGCAAGGTCTGACTGAATTTTAGTTACAGAAGCTACAGATTATAGTTCAGAACTAATAAATTTTATAGTTAAACAACCCAAATCAGTTCCACAGTTCCTTTTAAAATGTTTAATAGTCAATAATAACTATTTTGCCTGAGATTTGTATTTTTTACTTGGTTTTAGCAGTGGTCCCAGTTTCTTATATAAATGACCTAAAATTACTAAAATTGCTTTCAGAGGTTAAATTGCAATCAAAACCTCAGCAAACTATACATTTTCGTAAAGATAAAAGAATTGGCTACAACATTTAGATTATTTATTAAGTGTATCTATAAAAATTAATGATGTTATGAGCACTTGAAAGCAAGACATTTTGTCGATTTTTTTTTCTTGAGAACTTCAAGGTCAAGGACACTGAGCAAAATTTTTTACGGGGTTGGGCACTATGGCCAACGTTATCCCCATCCATTTACCTTACTAAAAAATATTTACTTATAGGGGTCTTTTATCAATATTTCTATGTCATTTAATGCAATTTCAAATGGCACTCAAAACGCTCTAAAAAGCTCCACATCAAAGAATGATACATGCCACAGTTCGTGGGTTAAAATGATATTAGGAAAGAAATGACTTAAAAAAATTTTTTTTTTAAAATAAGTAACTCTTAGTCTTCTCAAGAAGATGTCCTCATAGCCTCATATGTTTAACTATGCAACTGGTGTTTTTGATTAAAAAAAGCATTCATATTTCAATGCTAAAATTGTTATATTAAATAATACTAAGTCTAATACAAGGAAAATTAAGTGTCCAAGTATTTAATGACTAGCTACAAATGAAACAACATGGCCTCTCACATCTCAATTCAAGAAACATGGGCCTCACGCAATGACAACAAAGGGAAGCAATTGTATCAATGCAACACGAAATCACAACAAAAATTTAATTTTAAACAATGCTTGCACCTGTAAAAGTAAAATATAAATTACCCCACTATCATTCAAGTTAACAGGAAAGAGCAAAAGTTATTTTGTTATTTTAATGCTTACCCCCAGATTTTTAATAGCAGTCTTGCTCTCTTTTTCATTAAGACCTCCAATAAAGTGTGGCTCTTTGGTGTTGAGGGACACTGCGTTTCCTTTGGTTTTGCCTTTAACTGGTTTTGAGGAATCAACTGTTAGTTCACCATTTTGATTACTGCGTTTAGCTGTCACCTAAGACAAAATTGTTATGAATTGATTTAGTTAAGAGATTTGAAAAGGTAGGAAAAAGTTTGAAGAAGAAAACATGACCAATCATTTTAAAGAGATGAATGCACAAGGCCACTCATATATTAAATATGCAGTGATTTGGGATGGGGTGGTAGGATTAGGTAATTTTTCTTAACCAGTCTGGAGAGTTGGATCTGGACACATGCTTATGAACCCAGAATTTTTGAAAGTCATAGCTTTGTTCTCAGAAATGAAACACAAATTAACAATAATAATAATAAATTCTCAGCATTGCCCAAAAGTCCTTCCAGAGATATGTTTTAATTTCTTACCAAAAATGTATTACAAGTAAAAGATATGCATGGCTTAATACTGCAGTTGTAGCTTTATTGCCTGTAAGAACAGTTCATCATCATTGGTGGCACTATTCTGCAGTATACCAAATGTAATTGACCCTGCATTCCCCTGGGCCTATGAACTGCCAGATTAATGGGATAACTAGAATACTTTGGATTGCATTTCTAGATAAGTATGTTTCCAATCCTTGAATAAATTTTCAAACTCCATCTTTTCTTTTTTTTTTTTTCTTTGATTTGTTTACCGGTACTCTCTTACATTATTCCCCCATTGTTGGACAAGAAAAACTGTATTTTCCTTTCCATTGTTGAATTCAGTTATATGTTCTTGAAGCTTTACATCTATTGTATTAGAGTCAAAATCAAACTAGCTTATTACAAGGAGCGATAAAATGACATTTATTTATAAGTTCACCTTTATTTGTTCACTATTATATTTTATGGGGGTGAGCCCAGCAACATGAAAGGGCCCCTCAGCATGACTTATAGCATGTACCAAAATAGTTAAGCCACTGTGTTTAAGAAGTGTTCAGTTTTATGGCACTTCCTTTGGCTTATAGTAAATCTGTTTGAATAAAACCAGGTTGGGAATTTTTATTTCTGTTTCCCCTAAGTATAACGTAAAATTTATAACCCTCTGTCTTGGATTCAATTCAACCTGACCCGTCTAATGAGATAACATAAAACAAATTCAAACTTACCGTATGCCACTTGTTATCATTGTATGTTTCAGTGCTAGCCATGTTGGCGGTACCAGTTCCACAGTTGAAAGAGAATTGCACTTTCCCGTTCAGCAAGAAGATGGCCAAGAAATCAACATGATTTGCATCAGCAGTG